TTAATACGTTAGCCCCTTTTATCCCCCCCCCAATATTATAAGGTCTATTGTATTTTATTTTATAATAGGTTGGACAGTTTTGGATACCCCCTTCCACATGGGGAAAATACCTTGTTCTGCGCACGGCAACCGTGGAACGGGTAAATACTTTGTCCAGGTTTAGTGAAACCACTCCTTGAATTTGAAGTTATTGAATGTATAGACTAAATCAAGTAAAAGTGAACCCCACCCCCCTTTTTTATTTATAGAAAACATCGATTTGTGTTAAGTTGGAATAAAGATTTATATTTTATAGCTATATGAAGCTCTGGAAGTCAACAATACTTGGTTTAGTATACATGTATTCATTTTAAAACTCTGCAAATTCCTGGGGGTTCATGACCCAAGAAGTCAACGACTATACCCTATCTGACCCAAGAAGCCTTTAAGTCAACGACTATTCCCTATCTGCTTTGCTCGTATATTTAAAATTAGAAAATATCAATATGGGTAGGTCATTTCAAAAAAATTTAATGAGAATACATGTATGTTGGAAAAAATCGCGTCATGTATACAAGAAGGTATTGATCATTGACGGATGCAGAAAGGGAGGGGGGGTCCGGGGGTTGGACCCCCTTTATTTTTGTAAACACACATAGAAAGAGAGAGAGAGAGATACAGAGAGATATATATTTTTTCTATAAAATGGATATTTACATAAATACGTCTAATAATTTGAAAATATGAAAAATCTCTGTCCTTTCTGCTCGCTAGGTCTGTAGATTTTCGCGTATTTGCTTTAAATTCCGTCGTGTACATTCACAACCCCGGCTAAGGGCTCCGAACATCCACAAGTAACATGCAGGGAAGATTCCAGAATATATATACCATTTTTGGACCATTTTTAGAAGTAACTTACTTTTAGAAGTATGCATAAAATATTTTTTAATCAGTTTATTATGTTCCCGTACTATGCAGATGGAGGGGGCTCCCTTTATTTGAGAATAATCTCTTGCTGTGGTTTTGATCAATATATGATTTGGAAGTTCCCTTCACGTTTTTTGTTGCCGGAAAATACGCAGATTCGAACATTTGCAAGTAATGTACCGCGAACAGAAAAATTACAGAAAGCCCCATCTACCCACCCACCCCCACACCCTGCCAAAGGGATTTAAAAGTGTCCTGCATAGTTTTTTGGTTGTTTTTTTTTTGTACGGACTTGAATTGGCCGTGATGTGATTCTATGCATGAGTGCTGGGGGCACCGACCTAAACCCCTTTCAAAAATTGCTGGATCCTCCCCATGCATGTTGATTATTCATATTTAGGCAATCACCTGAGATTCACTTTCTCCACTGTCAAATTAAAATAAAAACATGGGCATTTTTTAAAGAGAGAATTAAAATAATAAAAAGAATGCAATAAACGCTGTATTAAAAAAAAGTATAAGACCTATACATAATTTAAATGACGATAACAATGCAGAGGTACGGAGTTTAAAAGTACATGTATACCATTTAGAATAAATCCTTTTTAGTCTCTCCCCAAATATTTTTTTATAGAACATCACCGTTGAAAGAAGCATAGTTCGATGTGTAACAATTTTGTTAAATTATACATCAACCTTTCCCCCCTAAATTCAAGATATTGACTATAAATTAATTGTTTCCCAAATTAGCTGCAGAACTGTAGCTCTCTGCTTGAGAAAATTCGCAGAGATAAAATAGAGAGCTACAGTTCTGCAGCTAGCCTCATATAAATAAAAAGAAGGTGAAAATGGATCATTATTTTTTAAATGTTACGATTTTTAGCGCTTTTTAAAGACAGAACTGTTAAATTAGTGTGTTTCATCTAATTGAAAACAACCATCACCCGGAACAAACTAAAACTAAACGTAAAAAAAAAAACGAAATGCCTAATAAACAAACGATTGGGAGTGAACATGGTGAACACTTAGATCGACAGAAATACCTGTGATGTAAGCTGTAAAAGAAAGGTACGTTATTTAATTGTGCATAAAAATTAATATGTACGTGATTGGAGGTAATCTCATCATAAGTCTATGTATATATCTATTAATTAACATTTCATAAAATTGGATAACGCAAAGTAATACATGTATACAAATGAAACCTCAACATTTTACACAATGCAGGGACGGGGGGGGTCACCTATTTAATTCGGTAAAGGAGGAGTAAAGGATAAGATAAGGGTACCCTAAAGCGTAATAGACAGACACCCCAATTACTATATGCCCTTCCACATTTCAAGTGGCGGTTAATATTATCCTGTTGTTTTGCATGCATATGTAACAGGTCAGCACGTATTATACATGCTCACGCCTTTACCTTTTGTAGAGCTCTACATGTTCTATGACGTAACAATGCAATAATACGTCATTTTTTCTCCCAAAACTCAAGATTTGCACCCTAAAATGCGTCTCTTAACTGACAGTGAAATGATATAAGCGGACCTTAGATCTTCAATCTTTTTCGTTTGATTTAAGCACTGAAACATTGTAGTATCGTAACCATTCTGTTATATGTGTCCACCATCATAAAGGGGTGTCTCCCTACACTACTAGATTTTTATTCCTATATCAAAATATGTTTTTTAGAATAATTATTACATCTGAACATAAACTACCTTCACCAGAGAAAACCAGAAGTCTCTGTCGAGACTGTAGCTCTACTGGTTTATACTTAAAACAAAGGAAGAGGAAAGTAGCAGTTGGGACTTGAGACTTTAAATCAGCAATAAATAGAAAAATGATCCTTGCCACTCATCAAAATAAAAACCAATGCACAGAATTATGTATCTTAGTATAGTCTACTTGTGTGCCAAGTTATACTGAAATCAGACCAAAACTGCAGGAGGAGTAGCATTTTGAAAGAATTTCACAGAAATTTCTATTTTTAGTAACCACGGCAACACCGTTTATCAAAATTAAAAACCGATGCACAGAATTATGTATCTTAGTGTAGTCTGCTTGTGTGCCAAGTTATACTGAAATCGGACCAAATCTGTAGGAGGAGTAGCATTTTGAAAGAATTTCAAAGAAATTTCTATTTTTTAGTAACCAAGGCAACACCGTTCATCGAAATCAAAAACCAATGCACAGAATTATGTATCTTAGTGTAGTCTACTTGTGTGCCAAGTTATACTGAAATCGGACCAAATCTGTAGGAGGAGTAGCATTTAGAAAGAATTTCAAAGAAATTTCTATTTTTAGTAACCATGGCAACACCATTCATCGAAATCAAAAACCGATGCACAGAATTATGTATTTTAGTGTAGTCTACTTGTGTGCCAAGTAATATTGAAATTGGACCAAAACTGTAGGAGGAGTAGCATTTTGAAAGAATTTCAAAGAAATTTCTATTTTTAGTAACCACGGCAACACCGTTCATCGAAATCAAAAACCGATGCACAGAATTATGTATCTTAGTGTAGTCTACTTGTGTGCCAAGTTATATTGAAATCAGACCAAAACTGTAGGAGGAGTAGCATTTTGAAAGAATTTCACAGAAATTTCTATTTTTAGTAACCACGGCAACACCGTTCATCGAAATCAAAAACTGATGCACTATTTTATGTATCTTAGTGTAGTCTACTTGTGTGCCAAGTTATATTGAAATCGGACCAAAACTGTAGGAGGAGTAGCATTTTGAAAAATTGTTTACAGACAGACAGACAGACAGACAGACAGACAGACAGACGGACAGACAGACAGACGGACGGATGACGGACGCATTACTATCGCATAAGCTCTTCTGGTCTCTGACCAGTAGAGCTAAAAAAACTAAATTCAACATTAAAACGAACAAACAGTTTTGTGAACAATTAGAGAGAAAGAGTTATATACCTGTGATGTAACGTTAAGCTGCAAAAGAAATGTACGTTAATATTGTGGATTAAATCTAATATATACGTGTTTCGAAGTAATCTCGTCACAAGACTTTATGTATATTTATTAATTAACATTTTCTAAAATATTGGATAACACTGTCCAAAGAATATTACGAATGATTGAAACCCCAATATTCCTTTTACATAATGGAGGGGCGGTCGGATCAAACTCGTCCTTTTCCGTATAGGAGAACAAGACCCGAAGAGGATTTCGGAAATAGCCGAGTAGCTACGATTGAATACGAATGAATCTGACGTCACAGCGGAAGTGACGCCGAGCTGTGTCTGCACTGGCTGTGTTTAGATCGAAGGAGGCTACATATCTTCGTGTTTCTCCGTGTTTTCCTATTGTTAACATATTTTTATTTACTACAGCATTTTCTTGGCAATGTTGACGCGAAGGATGGGATTTTTCGAATGAAACTGCAAGGTTAGTGAAAAATTGGAGGCAACGAATTGACCCGACCTTCCTCGGCGTTTGAGTGTGAAATACATTGCGAGTTACGAAATTTACGCAAGCTGGTGAGGATTCTGGAATCTTTTGAGAGTATTTACTGAACATTATTCACGATGGGATGTTAATTTGAACATTTTTTATCATAATCTACGATTAGAAAGTAGCGGCGCAGGCGCAGTAGGGGGTTAGTTGTGCCTGGCATGACTAACCCCATTTTACGCGTGCGCTAACTAACCCTGCTGATACTGACAAAAATCTGACTAAGCCTTGACTTTAGGTTAAGTCCAAAAAATAAAATGCATGCAAAGAAAAAAAAAAAGAACACCAGCACAAACAACATTCCAGAAACAAATAAAATAAATTAAATTAACACAAAATAATTATAAAATAAATAGAATAAAAAACTTAAATTCTAAAACTAAGCCAAATTTTATAAGAAATATTCATGTTAGTTAACTAAGTTAGTCAAATATAACAGAATTTGCAATAGAAATTCTTGTTAGTTAACTAAGTTAGTCAAATACTAACACAAAATGCAATGGAAATTCTTGTTAGTTGTCTAAGTTAGTCTAACTAAGGGATTTTTTCTTGAAAACCCCAAATTCCAATGATCAGAATAATTCCAATTTTAAATAATACACTGTTTTATTTATTACCTCACAAAAGAACTCATTTCCTTTTTGTTTACAGAATTTGGGAATCCAGTACTCTTCACCGAGCCGCAGTTTTCTGGAAACCAAACATAATCTCAGGTAAGTCAATATCGCCACTAAAGCTTATAAAGGTAAGTCAATATCGCCACTAAAGCTTATAAAGGTAAGTCAATATCGCCACTAAAGCTTATAATATGATGACAAGAATAAAAATTAAAAGTTCCTCAATGCTGATAAATTGTCATATGATATTTAATATTAAATTCAAATACAGTACTCCTTCATTCAATCCTATTGTTACTGTTCATAAATATATATTTTGGCAATTTGCTATCATATTTTACTTAAATTTTAAATAATCTAGTGAATAATTATTATGAAGGGATCAACCTAGAAGCGAAAAACTCATAACTGAAGTAAAGATTTAAAAAAAAAATATCTCAAAGTTATAATTACTGATAACTGTAACTTGCCGTTTTTTTTTTTCAGGTGGGCTGCCAAATGACCACATAGTCGCCTTTTACTATGGGAGTTCAGAGATCTATTAAACAGTAAAATTAAAAAAAGAATTTTAATTTAAAGATTATTCATGTTTATTGAATGTAATTGAAAGTCCACAGCATTATCCACATAAAGTGTGATTGGATGAAAATAAAACAGTATGAAAAATAATCTCGAATACAGCTAATTTCCAGAATTCAAAGTTTCAACCTTTATAAATATTCCAGTATTAAATTACATCATAGACCTTCGCTTAAGGTGATTACATACAATTCTCAACAGTGATGCATAATCTATTCAAAATAATACTTGGTAATGGACTTATGTCCTGCTGAAGGCATACATTATGGGGTCCGGGGGGGGGGAGTTACTTTTGTTTAAATTTTTATTTTAAAAAGCCACACCCCCCCTTCCTTCATCATTTTCAGTTTTGGGGGATCCTTACGGGTAATTAGACGCACCATATGCAGACTGACGATTGACTTCACATGAACTTTTTGCAAGTTTGTGAAAGAACTTTACGACGCAAACTAACTTTATTTTGTTAATGATAAACATAAATGTACCTAAAATTTTATATTTTTTAACTATTCAGTATTCACTTAAACATCCTTTAATTTGGCGCCAAACAATCTGTCCTCAATCAACAATGGAAAAAATTCATACAAAAAAAAATTCCAGGGTGTCAGTTCACCATTACAAGTCCGAGCATTCCAATCTGATTTACCTCTGATATATCTGTGTGTGTGTGTGCATAAGTCAGTGCGTTGATACAATAAAAACAAGTTTAAAAACTTACATCGACTACTTACTGTTACACCTTGCACAGGAAAACATACACCGGTCGCACTAAAAACCTCAAACCGCACAATGACAATATGGAGCGCACTAATTGCCTAAAAAATGTTTTTTTGATATATATATATATTTACCAGTGCCTAGCTTTTACTTCATAAAGTTAAATAAGAAGCTTGGAAATATATATGCAAATTTAACAAACATCTATTGACAGCTGATAATGATTGAGGACGGATGTATTGTACAAGTTTACGCTTTGAATCACAATTATTGATGAACCAGACAAAACAAAACTGAAGTTTTTGTAATACCGAATGACCTTAAAACATTCAGTGCATTAAACAATTGGAAATATTTATCTAAACTAGAAATATGTCCATAGGACATGAATGCCCCGCCAAGGATATACCTGGTATAAGTATAAAGCAACATGAAAATTTGTATGTGTATAAAATTTGATCAGTTTGGTTCAGGTAGGGCTTATAGTTACTTGGGAATGAAAATGTAGGTCAGATCCAGCATCCGAAGCAAGTCTGGTAGCTTCCATCCCTAGATGCATCATCAATGCAAGTTTGGTTCAGGCAGGGCTTATACAATATAGTTACTTGGGACTGAAAATATAGGTCAGATCCAGCATCTGAAGCAAGTCTGGTAGTTTCCATCCCTAGATGCATCATCCATGCAAGTTTGCTTCAGGTAGGGCTTATAGTTACTTGGGAATGAAAATGTAGGTCAGATCCAGCATCCGAAGCAAGTCTGGTAGTGTCCATCTCTAGATGCATCATCCATGCAAGTTTGGTTCAGGCAGGGCTTATAGTTACTAGGGAATGAAAATGTAGGTCAGATCCAGCATCCTAAGCAAGTCTGGTAGTAGTGTTGTAAAATCGGACAAATTTTACTATCGATTATCAAATTGAATCGGAAGAAAACAATCGATTATATAATCGATAATTTGGACTATTAAAAAAGGTTAAATTTATTCATTCTGAGAAGTATTTTAAATAGACAATGCACCAGGATATGGACATAATACGCAAGTTTCGAGATTATCTCCCTTGGTGCGCTCTTTCGTTGAGGAGGGGAGTTTCGTTGCCACGTAAACAAAAAGGTGGGACAGTCTGATATTTGATACTGTGTATGTTGGATACATTGCATCATCGATATACCGGTTTATCATTACTACACGATTGTCAGGATGCACTCTACAACTTGAGCATAACCCAATCAAAGTTAAAGGCATCATTTTTTAAAGCAAAAAATCGAAACAAAAAAGAAAATATCAGTGGATGTGAGACTTTTCGGACGAGGGAAGAGATATGGACCTCTGATAAATACGGTGCACATGCATCTGATTACGTCGGGAATCTTAATGACATATAGATTCTTTTCCTTATTATGACTTAAAAAACACTAACTTTTTAGAAAATGTTCGTACAATCAAGAAATTTGGTTACTTTTTATAAAAACTACGACGTTTCTTTCGTTTCAAGTACCCGAAAATTAATAGTAGATTTGTAAATATGAATAGTTGAGCTTGATAAATCATCAAATGCATCACTGCTGAACATTATTATCTTTCTATAACATTAAGTAAATTTTAAGAACCATAAATATCGTTCTTTTATTTATGCACGTTTGTATACAGAGACAACCTGTCCCACCTTCATGCTGAAATGGGTACTTTTTGCGCCTCTATCGTAGGAGAGTTACAATCTCGAAACTGGCGTATTCGGTGTCAACCTCTTCACCATGCACGTTCACCATTTTGTTTACCGCCGATAAGAGTGAGGTCCCTTTGGTGAATATAAAAGTTAAACCTGCTCGGCTTGAAAAATACGGCTTCAAAAATATAGCGATCTATCGATGATAATATTTACAATCGATTGTCGCCGATCTGGGCCTTTAAACGACGATTTTTTGATAGTCGGCGACTATCATAACAACACTATCTGGTAGTTTCCATCCCTAGATGCATCATCCATGCAAGTTTGGTTAAGGCAGGGCTTATAGTTACTTGGGAATGAAAATGTAGGTCAGATCCAGCATCCTAAGCAAGTCTGGTAGTTTTCATCCCTAGATGCATCATCCATGCAAGTTTGGTTCAGGCAGGGCTTATAGTTACTAAGGCTATAAATATGTAGGTCAGATCCAGCATCCGAAGCAAGTCTGGTAGTGTCCATCCTTAGATGCATCATCCATGCAAGTTTGGTCCAAGTAGGGCTTATAGTTCCTTAGGAATGGACCTGCTCCAAAAACTTTAACATGGTCACTCATCTGGAAAATGTAGGTCAGATCCAGCATCTGAAGCAAGTCTGGTAGTGTTCATCCCTAGATGCATCATCCGTGCAAGTTTGTATCAACATGTGATGTTTGATAACACCATCTGGTAAGTGTACAACACCAATGGTATATGTTTAAAATTGAGCTAAACACTAATTTAAGAAAAGTGAGGTCAAGGTCAAAGGAAAGGTAAGGTCAAAAAATGTTGATGCAGTTGCATAGCTCTCATCAATATCTATCAGCATATGAAGTTTGATGAAAATATCTTGGATAGTTTCTTTGAAACTTAGCTTTGAACAGAGCTAAACACAAAGTATGATGGAAGGACAGAAGGACGGACATGACAAACACTATATGCCCCGGCCATATTCATGGCGGGGCATCAAAAAAAAGTTCTTCATTTTAATTTTACTTTCTATTCAAAAGTGATCCACTTACTGATCCAATATTTAATGTCCTCTAATATGGCTGAGATTTTATGTTGGACAATATGCATCCCTTTGTCTTCTAATTTTATCGGGAGAAAAGTCAGATCTAGAAGCCTTTTTTTCTGTAATAAACACTTTAAGTGTTGCAATTGATTACTTATATCCTCCCCCAAATATCAAAGGAATTGACAATTTCTGATGAAATTCAAGTCAAAAGCAAATATTGTACAGTTGATATTCTGTATCTTCACTACGTGAGGATGCTTTCATATAATTTGATGGATCATTGTTTTGCTGTTCTTAAGGAAAAAAAATGTTCCTATACTTGTACAAAACTTTGATCGTTCAGATTGGTCCTACCCATAGAAATATAAAACTATAAAAACTCTAGGTTAAGAAATCCACATGAAGTTTCATCTTTTCAAGCCCAAGGGTTTCTTGATAAGATTCTTGAAAGTCCCATACAATCTTTACTTTTTTTTAAAAATAATTTATCTCCCCTTGGAAGGTAATGTGGCCCTTCATCTGATATAGAAATCTGCCAAATATTTCAGGAGAAGATTTATGTGTTAAAAGACAATGACAACAACGAGGGTGACAAGAAGAATGGCAGAAAATAGACTAATTTTAATCAGAAGAGCTCCAATGAAGCTCTCGTGAACTAAAAAGCATTTTTTTTTAAAAGTTTACTACATAAATAATGACAAAAAATATACAAGATATTCACAGCACTTTTATTCAAACATAATGATACATATAGTATGCTAATGCGAGTACTAATAACGAGAGAAAACCAAAAAACAAAGTCCGGCAATATGAATGTCTCCAGTATGAACTAGAAAACTGACCAGTCAGTATGGGCCCCGCCATGGGGTAGAATTAATAGGGACTGGGTGCAGCTTACGGAATGATTAAAAAATGTACGAAGAATAAGCAACAGCAACTGTATTCTTAAAATTTCAAGATAATTCCTGAATATTCAAAAACCTGAAAATAATATCCTTGTATTTACATTAGGCAGTAAAGAACAACTTTATGAACATTGAATGTATATTTAAACAATTATGAAGCTTATGTTATATAAAATGC